ACGCAGTGAGGATGGACGAACATAAATTAACACACATGCTCTCCGCCAGATACTAAACCACGAAATTAGCATTCGTTCAACAAAAAACCATACGCGCCTCAACCCAACGAAGCCCCCCCAGAAGTCTAGCTAAATAATATTTAAAAATTATTTTCCTACCTCAAATAAAAACGTGTCTCCGTTATAAAACAAATTCGTAAGTAAGGTACTTATTCTGAGGAGCACATAAAATACGTATATCCTAAATATATTCTGAGATCAGAGTGAAACGTTACTGAACACTAGAGCAAGTGGTACACATGGTTACCACTGTGTTGCAACGGTTAAATACCACACCGCACTGAAGCAACTGTATTAGTAGTTCGAAAGCACGCGTTCTTACTTATTCAGGAGACGCATAAAAATATAAAATACATTTTAAAAATAATTATTCTCACTGTTGAGTATCCCTCATGAAAATAAGTGACCATACCTGAGATTCGCTGCCGGACTACGAGCATATCAAAATGGTAATTGATGAAACTGGGTGTGAGGAAGTGGACTGGATTCATCTGGCTCAGCACACGGACCAGGGGAAAACTCTAATAAACCTTCGGGTTATATGAAAGCGGGGATTTTCTTGACCAACTGGGTGACTACTAGCTTCTCAAGAAGGACTCCGCTCCACGGAGTTAATTACTAAAAATTACTTCGGAATAATTAGTAGCAGTGGAGAGACAAAACTGCACTTTCATTACAGAAGATTTAGGTTGAAGTTTGTAGAAGCGTAACAGAAAAGAGAAACCACTCTAATCTTCTTATCATTGTTCCTAAAGATGATTAATTAATTATGAATAAGGAAGCAGCTTCGTGCTCTTCACATGGAATGTATTGTCTTCACTCTGTTGCTGAAAATGGACCTCGTTAGCTTTCGTAAAACGAGTTCCAAAAGGAAAGTTTCGCTTTCAGTTCAGTGTTTAACACAAAGGAATACTGACGCAATGGCATTTGTTTTTCGTAGTTCAGAATGTTTAATTTCAATTTTACACCCAACAGATTGTGAAGAAAACTTCTTACTCAGATTCTTTCAAATTGAAACTGGTCCTCTTTCCTTAACAACGCCTTTTCAACTTGATATGACTCGCCCTCCCACACGTGCTGCATGAAGATCAGGATTGTGATATTCTGGGTTATTACGCCGTGAGATACATTTTAATATTATCATCGCATCTACACGAAGTGATATTTTCCCTTCAGATTTTCAAACTAAAATTTTGAATTCATTTCTCATCTCTGCCGTACGTGCTATACGCTCCTCACATCTCAACCTTATTTTATTGATTTGCTAATAATATTTGACGAAATGTGCAAGTTTCGAAGCTTTTCGTTATATAATTCTTATTGCCTTTTATACGAAATATTCTTTAGTACCTTCGTAAGTAATTAATAGTGGAATTGTTTGTAACTCGTAGCTGCATTGCCTCAGAGACTAGTGATTTTAACACTTTTATTTCCAGTCGTTCTAAACCGCGCGTCGGTCTGTGTACAGGTTCTTGTTGAAGTCTTTCAGTGCAGAAATGTCTCCTCGGAAGTTCGGATGAGGCCACGCGAAAGCTGCCTGTAGGAGGAAACAGGAGTTCCAGGCTACTGACAGTACGGAACAAATTCTGCAGGACTGCGGGACCACGAGGGACAAGGGAAAGCACGTCATTGTCGTTGTCCCTTGTGCAGTCACACTTGGACCGTCATGCTTCAAGACAGGGTTTGTTGGTCAATGGGTTTATAGTCGACAACTCTTTAAAGCACAGTGGCACAACCCACTTAAAATTAACTCCATTTTGCTCACAGAGCGTATTTATGTTTTGTATCATTCTCATAATTAACCAAATTTTCAACCGTTCTTCACGCCATATCTTAGGGTCATGTTGTACTGTCAACCGGGGTCATTGTTGAGCGACAATGTTGGCCAAGTGTCTTTATGGCATTGCTGCAATAATGTGATCCGAGGTCTATGTTTCACTGATGCTGTCCCGCCATTGTTGCCAAAAATGTGTTCCAACAATTACGTCTGTTCCCTTTGTTTTGCATGTGTTCAAACAATGGGACCACGGTTCCCAATGTTGCGCAATTTTGGCCATGCGGGATGCTTAATTTAGGAAAAAGCCAAGGTCATACACACAAAAACCCGATTTGTTCACGCCACAGAGTGAAGACACGGCGTACTAGAGACAGTAAATGAGCAGCTGGTGTCTTCCTTCACATTATATATGTACGAAGAACTTCTGGAAAGCTAAATTAATTCGTGTTTGATGTCTGTATCCGATTCGGAACACAAAGGCGGACAGACACGTTAGTGCGCTAACAGCGTTCCGAATACGAAAGAAGCCTATAAAATATGTGGGTTAGTTCGTGATCAAATTGAAAAATCCCAATAATTCTATCACTGTGATAAAAATTACAGTGGCATTTTTCAGCAGATAATATTGGTTCTCCTACTAAAGTTTTACAAGACAATTTCCGAACAGCTCCCCTGATACAGAATGAAGAGCTTTAATTACCACATTAAATATACCTTGAACTTCATTCTCATGTTGAACGAAATAAAACCCCTTATGCTCACTAAAACGTAACTTTACGAGCCCGGAAATAGAAGGCACTGTCAGGCGGCACAAATCATGTACCAACAGAGTTCAAACTAACGCGTTTACAAACGAAAAGATCAATACCTTCATCTGCAAGGCAGAGACTAACTTACTAAAAATACTACGACCACGTCTCTGTATACAGTTGTCACACAAGTTTTACTTAAAGACGCTGCTAGTAGCTCAGACTGTTAGCATAACTATTCATCCAATAATTTAACACCCACAGAATTAATCATTAACTGCCTCAGCGGAAATTACATGTTACAAATTCTTCATTACACGACTTCATGCTTCGTCCTGTTCCTTCTTCCTCTTTTTCACGACGTTTTTTCAACTACCTTGGTTGTACAGCGTCGAACACTAGGATGATTATGAATGATAAATTGTAAGAGCAGTGGAAAATTGATCGTGGCCTGTTTTAAGGCATATTTACTATCCCATCAATATCCTGTGGGCAATAAGAAAACTTTCTGCATACCTCAAAGTCGTAATTCTACTAACACAATCTCCACTGGTCTCCTAGCTTGCGTATGGAACATAAGTCTTCTCCCTTGTGAATGAATTAACAAAAAAAAAGTTGACAGTGGAACCACGGTTCCGGAGAATTTGACGTAAATACGTCTATACGGAAAGGAAGTTTATATATCAGCTTTATTCTAAATATTCCCTTTATACATGCTTTACAATTGAGTAAATTTTGAATAAGACATTGCTTATTTAACTTGAATTAGTTACGCTTAAGATGGGTCTGTGGTAGCTGAAATATGTTATAAAATTTGTGCACTTTAGAGTATCAACATTTCGTTAAAACACCATATCTATACAAGATTTTGATCTAGGATTTGACATCAACATTAAGCCAAACGTTTCTTCCATAAATTTATGCTAAATTAATTAATCTGTTTCTATCAATGGCACGCTAAGCTCTTGCGGCACCTATAACACTACGATGCATGTACGTGACTATACGTAAACAAAGCCAATTCGTTATGAATCTTGAGTTCTGATATTTTCTAATAAAACAATATATCCTAGAGTTAATTTTCCTTAAACAATCGATTATCGTCCCGAAGTTACGGGGAAGATTACTAAAACACGTGCCTCTACATATACAACGACCGCTTCCTTCAAGATCCTTTCCTACTCACCAATTACAAACATTTCTCCGGCTCTCAAACCGCAAAGGACGCCTACTACGCACAGAAAATTGTCTAAAAAATTATTCCCAAATCTACATCCGAAAGTCACAGACAAGAAAATTCCAAAAAAAGATATAATGGCATCATGGATAAAAAAGATGATCAAACTAAATTAACAAGGTCAAACTGAAATCAACAAATCCGATTGCAACTGAACTGATGAACCAGCTACATGGGGCAGAGTCCTTCATGAGAAGCTAATGGTCGCTCAGCTTGTCAAGGAATTCCCGACTTTTAATGAAACCCGAAGGTTCATTGCCGTTTTCACAGGACAGGGCAACCGGTCTGAAGCAGTTTTATCCAGTCCATGTCCTCACACCATATTTCTTCAAGACTAATTTTAATATTACCATTCTCACAACAAATAAGTGTTCCAAGTGGTCTCTTCCCAAGCAGCATTTTGTATGCATGTCACTTGTCTCCCACGCGTACTACAAGCCCCACCCAACTCACCCTCCTAATTTTATCACTGTAACAATTCTTGCTGAAAGGCACAAACTAAACTGCTTACTTCAAAAATACAAAAATATATACAATCAAACAAATCAGTCATTTTCCGAATTTTATATCACAACACTGTCACTGTCATTCAATAAGTTTGCCAATTCACCAGTATTCATTCATAATTTGGAAAGCATTTACCGACAAAAGAATTTGATCCCTAACTGTCGACGTCACAGTTGCGGTTTCTCTAGCCTTGGATCCTAGTGGTTAAGAAATTACAGGCAAGACATAACAACAAAAGAAAATCTTTCCAATAATCAGGGAACATCACAAAGTGATTTCCTTGTGATCGTTTTGTGAAATACTGGATATGCTCGAAAAATGCCATATTCTGATATTTACACGTGAATTTAACAATAATTTAGCAATATGGAGCATAAAAGGATGTCGTGATGGTTATCATGAACTCTATATTATTTTAAACGAACTTCAAAGATCTTGCATCAATTAACCTGCGATGCCGTTTAGTCAACGTTAACTTCAGTGTCTACGTAAAAGAACACAAAAAATGTTCATCAACCACACCGTAACTAAAAAAATTACACGAGGAAAAACAAATGTCAAAACAAGAAACTATGTTGGGATTTCAAAAAATCTCTTTTTTTATCAAAAGTTAATATTACGTGCAACAGTAGTGTAAATACAGAAAAATGTGTATGAGAAAAGAACTTACACAATGATTTATTATGAGGTCAATGCCTTGGCGTGTTCTTCACTGACCAGATGTAGAAGTATCAGCAATGAAGGAATCCACAAAACTAGAAAATCTCCTTCTGTTTTGTAAAACATTCAAACAATCACAAAAACCACCACAAACCCAGCATCAAATATATGAAACATATTTATCTACTCTTTAAAAATACAACATGCCCAACACAATTCAACTGAAATTAGCGTAAATTAGAAACAGTTTTAACAAAACACTCTTTGTCACCTATATAACATTAGAACACCCGATCGGTAACTCTGAAAGTTGGCAACGTACACAGCGTATGACGTCACGCACTTATTTTGCTGTCATCTATCCGCAGCAATTGTAAAACTACTACAAATGGACCTGGCGGTAATAGTACGTATTAATCCATGGTAGCAACCAATATCAAATGCTCAGTCGGTAAGAACGTTATTTTTACGAACCTGAGTATGGATGTTTTCTGGGGTATAGCGCCGTGTAGTCTCGTACAAACTAAGCCCGTCAGGGTGATGCCCTAATGATGAGGTCAGTAAGCACCTCTGAAACCTTTGTCAACTGCACAATGCAACATCCCTAAAAAACCTGCTCTGCTTAGCAATGGAGCCGGGCCAGCTGTTTTGATCGTCACACTGCGCATGCTTGTCATACTAATCCGTGATAGGAGGAAAGTGGTCGATTTTATAACCTCGAATTAGATACAGATACAGCAGGATTTGTTTGAAATGAACAGCTGTTCTAACCGGGAAATTTGACTTCCAATCAACATCTAACGTCATTAACGCAGTTCTCAGTCACTTATTCTGATATCTGTACCAACTCTTTCAGACTATGAACGCATAATTGGGCGGATCAAGACACTGCAGAACAGGGGTCGGCAACCTGCGGCCCGCATGTGACCCTCGCTACCGGTTTAAGCAGCCCATCACAGGATTTGGAAATTAGCCAATGATAGAACTTTCTCTTATGAAGTCAAATATGTTATTGAGAGATTGTGAGGAAAAATACAGCTATTGTTTTCAAGCAAAAAACAGCTTTGCTGACTGTCAATAACTTTATTAAATTTTTCTGTGGCTTCCAACAATGATATGAATACCCTATAAAGTCTGCGGTAATGATAGGGTTCCTGAACCCTGCTGTAGAAAAAGAAGCAGCAGGAAAATATCAGGGAGACAATTAAATTGATATAAGAATTATTTTATACCTATAATTTTCCTATTCTCTACAAAGATTGGGTCAAATATTGTAAGCAATTACAAATGACACTCCTTACTTCACAACCAGTTCCATATAATTACACATGCAAGTAAGTTGCAGCATGAACTGCTTCAACTTTGTGTTTTCTAACAAATAGAACATGGAACATTTTCACTTAAGGGTAAGGAGTCCCAAAATTCAGTGCGATTCTTGAGCAAGTCCTCAGCCATGTTCAGTTTGACAGGTCCCAGATTTTCGTTCAGGAAGAGAGAATCAATAGGGAATGCATCTACTTGTCCAATGTTGAGGTAGCGCACATGATGGTTATCTGCACTGATATCTCCTATTGGATGCCATACTAGGTTCTCCAATAGACTGCTGCTGTCACTGGCATTCACTGATTTGGAAGGAGTGGGGTTTCTGTAGCATGCGATACAGAATGCATTCAATCAGTGGACTAGTATATTAATTGACAGACTAACTTATCATCTGACTGTATGATAAGAGAACCCAAAACATTAACAACATTGATACCAAAATCCATCACTGATCCAGTTACATCCCATTCTCATAACCCATTTCCGTAATATCAAGTTATTATCCTCGCAGTATCCTTCTCTGTATTTAAAATAACAATTTTACAAGGGATCTCCTCACAAAAACTTTGTATGCATTTTCTTTTCTCCCAACCAACTGTTAAGCTCAATGAGTAAAGACTAGGCTGTAGACTGGAAGACAAGGGATCAATTCCTGGTGGGGGCAGAGATTTACCAGTTTGCCACTCTCGTCAAAATGCTTGTTAGGCTTACTCAGCCTCCTATCAAATGGGTATTGCTCAGTCCATCTACTGCTAAGATTAAAAATTTGTGGAGCCTCCACTGTCCCATATGTATAAGTACCAGAACAATTTTGCTTTGACAATACCAGTTGAACAATATAAATCATGAAGTGATTTATGTACAGTGCAACGTAATGTGCTTACCCAAATTTTGCAAAATTTGTCCATAGTGTGAGGAGGAGGTCTCTGACCTCCAGATCTTCAGAACTGTAAGGCAGTTTGATGTTGAAAGGCCACCACTGGAACAGGTATCTCAATTCATCCGAATGACTTACTCCTATTGACACAAAAATAGAGAGGCGTTATACATTTCAGAGAACGTAGCGTGACAGGGACAAGTTATCTTTATACAGTTATAGCTCAAGATAAATTATTTTGATTCTATATTGTAGTAATGATGCTGAATAAAACAGAATATCTGTAAAGTAAATATGCTTCTCTGTAACTTGGATATTCCTCCTGGGTTCTGGCATAATGTTGATGTAAGCTGTATTGCCATAATTCTGGAGATTTCTACTGTCTCCACCTTCAAGGTAAAAATACTACCCAGTGTGTTGTGCAAGTGTATATGAATTGAAAGGCCGGTGGAAACTACTCCAAATTAAACAGACACCAGAATACACTAAAAACAGTAATGTAATTATTACTAACGAAAAGTATGAAAATATGGCCAAGTTCTAGAACGTCATGGGCACATAGAAAACAGTAATTTGAGAACTGTTTATTACCTTTGATTTCAAAATGATGCACAGTGTTTGAGAAGCTGACAGTCATTCAGCTTGTTAAGAAATTCTCTGCCATTTATAGAATTCAACAGGTTCATTAGTATGCTAGCAGGAGCCAACCACTGGAACCTGTCCTTAGCTGCTTGAACCCAGTTCACTTGCAACAAATTTATTTTAAGAATCATCGTAATATTATCCTTACATCTATTGTTAGGTCTCCGAAATTATCTCTTCTCAGGGACAGAAACTCAGTACAACTGGACAGATGGCTGGATAGATACCAAACCTGATCTCTATACAGTGCTGAATAAAGAAATCCTCTCCCTACCAGGAATGGGAAAACACTGCACACATAGACCGTCATTTTACTGACTTAAGTGTCTTGGTTTTTCTTTCAGAATGAAGCTGTAAGATTATACTTTTCGATATAAAAACTCACCATAATTTTTCAGTGATGCACACAGTGATGTTGAAAACAGGCCCCTGTATGCAAAATTGTATTTATAAATGGACCTGTGACCTGCCAGGCCATGAAGTAGGGCTGCTTTGTTCGTTCCATGCATGAAGAAGCGATCTGTGGTCATCTAAACATAAAATTCAACATTTAAGACCAGACACCACTTCACTCCATTTTATAAATGAAAATACACTCTTTATGAGCGTTTGGGTCACATGATCTGATGTTTGAAGTCTCACAGCACTAAAGATGTTAACTGTGGCCTTCTGGAGTAGATGCCATGTGGACTTTAGTTAAGTACCAATGTTTCAGAGGAAAGTATTTCTTCTGTCTTCAGGGTGAAGTGTCACCATTGTTTTGACAGAAAATATCACCTTCATCTTTACCACTTTTGAACGAAGATGAAGAAAATATGTTACTCCAAAATGTTAGTAACCATCCACAAGACCACATGGTATCACAATACAGAAGACTGCAATGGGTCATATGAACATTATGTCAGGAATTTACAAATATTCAAATATACGAATTACTTTATTTTATATGAATATGAGACTTGGCCTTGCTCTTACATTGAAGGAAGAGCATAACTTGTGAAAACACTTTACTGAAAGATTTAAGAACGATGTGACATAAAATGGAAACAGAAAGTAATCAGAATGTTACTTGGGAAAGCCAAAGAGAAGATACATGTGAGGACATTAATATATATCTTAAGACAAAGGATGTGAAGACGTAACCTGGATTCAAATGGCTTAGAATGCACTGAACACAGTGACAACAATCAGGTATAATGAGAACAAGGACTTTCTTTTTGTACTGAGTATGTTCAAGGAAGTCCCTTTACTGTGGAGTTAGATTAAGATACTCACATCTATAAACTGCATCTCTTGCTCTACACGTAACTTGTGGTGATCAAGCCCATAGAAATCAAAAATCCCTTGCAACGAAAGCTGTTTCTGTTCGGGTTCCATACTCTCAGGCAGCATCATGTTTGGCAATATGAATTCAAAGTTCTCATTTAGTTGGTTGAGCAGCATAGGGTTGTTTAAAATCGCTGGAAAAAATAATTTTATACACTGTTAAGAGTTTTGCAGTGCCTGTAATGCTGTGGTTCTTGAACAATTTTGGAGTCTTCGAATATTTCAGTTGGTTCACTGGATGAAATGTACATTGTCACATATTTGGGTGAACAAATTATTTTATGATAAACTGGCAGGAAGAACAGTAGCATGGGTGATGCTGACCTAATTACTTGTTTAAAAAATGTTAATCTGCTCCACTTGCATAGTTAACACAAACTGTTTCCTTTTGTTTCAGAACTGAAAGAGTTTGTGAATATTTATTAATGTGTTTAGCAGCATGGAAATGGGCCAGATAAAGCAAATATTTCAGACACATTAGAAGGAAATTACAGATATATATGACTAAATGTAGTGTATTTTAATTTTTCAAGGGAGGTTGCTGGAATGTCACAGTTTATGAAGAAAATATAATACAATAAAGTACAGCACTTACTTACAAAGAAGAACACACTGGACTGAGAATTGCTACCCATTAGCCAAGGCACCTGCTGGAAACTGCCATTTAGAATCAACTGAAGTGGATCCTGTGTGAGATAAGGCTCTAAGTTCCGTTCTGAATGTTTCTCCACCACTGGCGCATATCCAGGAGTTACCAAGATAAAGAATAGCTAGAAGTAGCATTCAGATAGCAAGAAAGTATGGTTGTAATAGTGTTAGTTACAAAAATAGAGCTTCGTAATATTCTTTCAGTGCCACAAATGAGATAAATTGTCATGAAATCAACTCTTCTGCCCTAACTAGTTTTCATATGTGACATTATTTGTCAAAACAATCTTGTCTACCATTTCTTTATGCTTGAGGAAATCTATATGCAGTTTTTTGAATATTATAATGTGCCACAAAATTTTTAACTACACTGAATCCATGGCAAAATATATAACAAAACTAGCTACAGGAAATAAGAATATTAATATCGCTGCATCATACTTTGTAAGCTCATTAAAAAGTTCTATTGATGGATGGTGGAGAATGATTGTGTGATAGGTCCTAGGTGTCTTCCTCATAGTAGAAAAGGTTCCATATAATAGAGACAAATGGCTAAAGATTGCATGGAGAATGAATCACACAGAATTCCTAAAAGGAGAACCTGATATAAATTTAAAGGAGAATGAAACATTTGAAAGCTAAGGAAGAGATGGGAAACAAGAATATGCTGTAGATCTCCCCCATGGAATAAAAGACTGACAATACTATACTTACACATAGTTTATAGATCGTATCAGTAAGATCTGTAGCTGGACGTTGCCGTAAGCACTCTACCAGATCAGCTGATGGTTCTGTAGGACAATTCACAAGTCTAGCCAACTTCTTTGCAATTTTCTCTGGATTATCACTTCTAGCCCATGGTGAAATAAGTGTCCCATCCATTGAAATAGCATTATGAAACAGTCCTAAGGAGAAAAATAGAGATTAAGTGTAAGAAAATCTGAGTTTCTATCTGAATGGGCTAGTAGCAGTCACTTGGAAGAAGAATAAGAAAAAAAGATTGTAAGATAATATTCAAACAGAAGTTAAGTTACAGATTATGAAAACGGAAGTGGCTCAGATCATGTCTGTTGATGAGGGGTTACTGATGATAAACCTTTAGATTCTGATTTTATAGTAAGTGGGTTAGGAAGTTCCAGTTACATTACTTACTTCTCAAACTCTGAAACATCGGTTAACATTATGACAAGGACACATTCTGCCCCAGAACCAGATAACGTAAGAGCAAAGAGAACAGAGATGTGTTCTTTATAAAGCATATATACCTTCTGAAGGTTTTTTGTAGTATAAATGCTGATTCATTTCTTCTCCTTGGTCTCACAGTAACCTAACCTAACTTCTATCTGAAAGGTGTAGGTCTTGAATCTCAGTCTGTGAATGACCTACTCTAAGGCTTAATATGGTTATATTCAGTCAAAATAAATTATAACTTTCTAAAATTCCAAAGTACAAACACAGATGGATGTCTTGGAAATTTCTGAAATGAAAACTCTTTGACTTTTAAAGTTTGTGATTCCATGTAATAGTCACCAAGTCATTAAAACTCTTCTTACTTAAGTACAGGAAGATTAAATGGTAGCTGTGACAATGCATGATCTTTCTGTCATGCAAAAACACTAAGTTAGTTGTCACCTTATATACTCAGATGTAGACAGATAGCCTAAAGCATCACATAGTGATGTTTACTCACCTAAAAGCCACCCTGTTACATGCTAATGTTCACACTTAGGGGAGAGAAGGTATAGGTCCTACTCATTCTCAACCATGGCAATAAAAGGGGGTGAGTGGTCAGCAGCACGCCCCAGTTGTGCTTTATCCCCGGGTAAGGACCCTGGTACCCATTGAACAGAAAGCTGGGTGGGCCCCAGAGCCAGTCTGGATGCAGAGGCTAGAACAAAATTCTCTGCCTCTGTAAGGAATCGAACCCCAATCACCCAGCTCATAGCCAGTCACTGCACTGACTTACTGACTTACGATGTTAACTTATCTAAATTAGAGGAAATGTTGAAAATTTCCCATTTTTCAAAATATATTCTCCACACCTTTTAAACACAATCTAATTCACACCCAGTGTAGGTGTTCTTCAGCTATACTGTACATTGTTTCTGAAGAGTGTGTCTGTTGGAAACTTAAATTCTGGGGAAACTTTCTCTAAAATTTCTTCTTGATCTTTCTAGCAGAATTTAATAATCTAGTTAAACATATCCTTGTCCTGCACAAATGGATTCTTGCACAGCACTGAATGTCATAAGTGAGATCACTTCCTCTTTTCAGCACTGCTGACTGATTAGGATATACTTCATTCATTCTCATGGCTGACCCAGTAAAAATGGCAGCAGCTGAAGAAATGATCACTCATAGTACAAAGGCCATGCATTGGTGCAGCCACCAAATAATCTCTCTGCATAAAATATGTAAACATTCCATTAGTTTATTTGTTCTGAAAATTAACTACTAAATGATATAATGACACAGTCCACATATTTTTAAGAGTCTTCAAATATCCTTACCCCTCGTCGTAGGAGACAGCATATGGTAATGAACTGAAGCACTACCAGCACTTTGACCCATGATTGTGACACTGTTTGGATCTCCACCAAACTCTTTTATGTTGTCATGGACCCACCGCAATACTGCCACCTGATCCTTCATTCCATAGTTACCAGGAGATTCATCATCACCAGTGCTCAGAAAACCTGGAACATGAGAGAAAAATGCTGCATCAAGAATGACATTACAGGAACTAATCAACCCAAGCAACTGCAAACAATGCAAATCCAGCAAAGCATCCAGATAAATCAAAATGAAACCAAAACCCATATAAACCAGTAAAATTAATAAAACCTTATTAATCAAAAATTAACTAATCAAACAAACTAAACTAATACACCAGCATTTGAATTAGGTGGCCAGACAGATTACTGGAGAATGATACAAACAAACAAACAAAGAATGTTACTACAAAGGAGGCATAAAAGAGTGAAATAAAAGAGTACAAGGTAAACAAAATAAGTTTCTTAACAGATTTTCAAAGAATTTATTGGAAAAAATGAAGAGGGAAAGTATTAGTACTGAAAAAAAAACAAAAAAAAACAAGCAGATTGTGATTTATGTAGCTGAAGGTCAGGTAGAGATGCACTGGAATATACTATTATGAGATTTATCAATGAATAACACAGGATTTTTACTGTTGTGAAATTATATTTTTGACTGGCCACTTCATCACTTACTGAGCTGTGCCATATACTTTGCCATGAATAGATGACACACTGAAAACAAATGTGTTTTATGCTTTTTAGTAGTAGTAGAGTTTAAGATTAGAGTACTGAAAAGAATATTTGGATTCAAGAGAAATGAAGTAAGAGGAACTTGGAAACATTTTCATTATAAAGAGATTTATAGTATTTTATTAGGGACATAATATCAAGGAAAAAATGGGATGGTAGAGTTAAGAAATTCATACAGAATTTTAGTAAGAAAATCTCAAATGAGGACACCATGAAGATGACCTGGACACAGATGGGAGGATAATACTAAAATGAATGTTAAGTAAATAGGATGTGAGTGTGTGAAGTGGATTCATCTGGTTCAGAATGGGTTCCAGTGCCAGAGTGTTGTAAGGAGAGCAATAAATCTCCAGATTACATAAAGGTGGAATATTTCTTGAGTAGATGTGTAACTGTTAGCTTATAAAGAAGGAATCTATGTCACAGAATTAGTATAAGCATATTAAATTCTACAAACTGAACCTCTATCTAGTGCAGCCATCAAAAAACTCATCCACACACTCTCTGATGTGCAATTTTGTGGGTATAGACTGGACAGAGTTTTGGTGCACTAAGAATGTAAAAGCCTAAATAAATAAAAGAAGAAAATACATGGTATATCAATACAAAGATGTACTTTCCTGAAGGAGCTGGGATAACTTAGTCAGTTTGGTGACTAAGGCACAGGTTGCATGAAAAGGATTTGATACCTGGCAGAGCAGGAATTTTATCTTTGCTTTATAGTCCAGACTGACTCTGGGGCATACACAGTGGGTACTGAGTTACTTCATTGGAGGTGAAGTGGCTGGAGTGTTACGATAACCAAACACATCCACCTAGAGACAAAATGATCCACTGGAACCAATTTACTTTTTACTTTACATTATATTGATAATATTTAATGATATGTAAATCTGAACATACCAAAAGCTGACACTCTGTAGTTAAATGTCACTAGCAAGACGTCTTTATCCATGAAGAGTTGAGGTTTGTAAGTATTGATACTGCCTGAAGACATATAGAAAGCACCTCCACTAATGAATACTATCACAGGCAGCAAAGTTCCATTCAAAGTCTTCAGCTGAAATGTAAAGTGAACAGAAGGATGCCTTCAATTAAGATTGACTAATAATGTTACTACGGTTTATACAAACTATAACTAAATAATAATGTGCTAGAATATAATTTTGGACTGAAGATTTGACTGCCTAACAAGAAACTGGCTACATAAAAAGCATTATATATTTTCTTACGATTAAAATTCTTAATCAATTTAAACAAGGAGGACAAAATGGCAGTACACATAGTGTGCATGGTGGAGATGAGTAATGTGTACAAAAATGTATTGGAATGAGAGAGGGAAATGGACCACTTGGAAAACCTGGGCATAGATGGGAGAATCATATTAAAATGGATCTTATGGAAACAGATATCAAAGATGTGGATTAGATTCATCTGGCTCTGGACAGAAACTAGTTCCAGGACCCTGTAAACAAGGTTTAAGTTCCATAAAAGGCAGGGAATTTTTTGACTTGCCGAGTGTAATATTACAATCTCAAGGTGGACTCTGCTCCATGGAGTTAGTTAATTAATCACATTACGTAACAGAGACAAAGAAGATGGTACCTTAGGGGTGTAAACGTTGAGGTACAAACAATCCTCAGATACATTAATCTGTGTAAAAGGAGGTGGTGGTTGCATACAGTCAGCTGCATCCTTTGTAGAACTGAGGACACCTTGCCATGGTATAACTGGCTGAGGAGGCTGCAATATTTAGAGCTGTAAGTTCATTAACAGTGCTAAATCATTCTTATCATTACCATCATTCCAAATGTCACAATCTAATGCTTAATATTCAAGCTTCAAGTATCAAATCTAGTTGCAGGAACCAAATATATGCAAGTCTTTTCTATTTTTGTCAGTTCCTCTTTGTGCATGCCATAACGGTGCCATGAAATAATCCAAAGTAGTCCAGTACCCCTTCTTTCTCAATTCTTTCAGTTTCACTTACACACGATCCGCAGTACAAACTTTAAAACGCTTGCAAGGAAATCAGTGAGATGGGACAGCACAGAAAATAAAGTGAATTCCCGTGGGCTGTATCAGTGGGTTTCAAAGGATTTGCAATGAATGTGGTGGATATGAACAAGAAGAATTAGTCAAAATTTTGGGTGCTTTGATATAACCTGAAAGAGCTGCAAGTCACATGGATGAAGTCACTTTAAAATGCAGTGGAAATTTTACTAACAAAATCTGCATTACAAATCAGCTCATGTCTCACTGGTAGTGACTGTGAGATAAATATGAATCTATAATTAACTTGGAGAGTGGAAATTTTGTTATAAATTATCATCATCATCTTTATAATATTTGTAGGCATGTAAACCTCTTTACACCAGTTTTCTTTGTGCTAGAGGCTGGGATACTGGATACTGGGAACGACCCGTTCTTCAAGTGCCTGAGCACTGCGGGTCCCAACTTCTTCGTTGGTTTGATCTATAGACATTTTGGTAGGGCTCCTTGGACGAGGGACCAGCCCGTCGCAAGGCCTCTACCTGTACACAGGACAACGCGGACAAACATCCATGGCTTGAGTGGGATTCGATCCCATGGTCCCAGTGACCAAGCTAGAGCAGTGGTATTCAACCTAGGGTACGCGTACCCTCGGGGGTAAGTGAAATTTAAAAAGAAATATATTATTTTATGATAAACACTGAATAATCAGTAATGTAATTTATTTTAGATGTAGATTATATACTATGTATAACTTGAATTATACACCAACAACTTTGAGGGTACAAAGTTGAAGAGAAATTATATCTCGGGGTACGCGAACAAAAAAGGTTGAATACCACTGTGCTAGAGGCTAGATGAAAAAATTCCTCTGTCCCAGGTGGGGACCCTGAATATCCAGTCTGTAGTCTGACACTACACCAGCTCCGCAGACCAGTGAAATACCAGCATGTAAAGTATGTAAAGCTGCATAGAACCGATTTGGAAAATAAGTGTACTGTTTGTTCTCAATTGGAGAGCACATTTGCTCTAACATTTACAGTTACAGCTTTGCATTCAGGCTTACCTTAAAGCGTAGGTTTCCGACTGGGGGTTGGGCATAAGGAATACCCAGAAAGACACAGAATGGTCTCCCTTTCTCAGAGGTCAAGCTTGTACCCCTTAAAGTACCATCCTTCACAGTGACCTCAATTGTTTTCAAGTGGTCACATTCACCCTCAGCCTAAAAACAGAATCAGCCTGCCTATGTGTTTGGTGCAGTATGCATATTATTTTGTAGTATTGTAACATTTCGTATAATACAAATGACATTGCCTAAATTAAATTCTTGATTTTAAGCAAATATTGAAAATAAATCAACAAGATTTACTAAGAAAATTAATAAGTATGTGAACCTGTTTGTAATTAGTAGCATTTTATAATAAATTACCATAATGTTTCAGTGGATAGTTTTAATATATATACTGGTGGCCTACATTTAGGTCTTCTCCACATGTGAATCGCTGTGATCTTAGGTCATTAATTGGCTGTACAAACAGCGTCGTTGAATAACCAATGATAATATGAACGTCACCAACATGAACAAGGATGGAAGCGGCCTAGAGTTAATGCGTAACTTTGAGCATTTCGAGCAAGGAATGTATAAATTATAAAGAATTGTCACATCAAAAGAAAGATTTTTACCTTGATCTCCGGAAACAATACAACTAAGATCATTATTCTTGCAAACAACGAGGAAACTGTGGACGTCATTTCGATCTGGAACTAAGAAATCAATCACCAAATAAAACACCTCTTTTGGATGTTGGAAAAAAATTCACGATTAATTACTTTCACGCCTCCTAATTTAAAATTCACATCCTCACTTTGCGCTCGTTATCACAGCAGTTGTTATGAAGTCGCGGAATACGTTAATACAATATATAAAAAATATAATATTCCTCTCTACACAGACGGCGTTTCCTTTACTTAAATGCAAACTAAACGTGAAACAGCTTGCGTATAACATATTTCTACAGAAAATAGACAAACAATAGTCTTCTTTAAAAATACTGTAACCTAAATTTTCTTGTTTGTTTGGCCCTGAAACCACTGATAACGCGAGAGTGACGAGTACGGAGTCGAAGGCCGACCACTTGTCTACACTTCGGCATAATCGTGCCAAAGATAATGTACTACACGCGTACTCAGTTCTGAAAAGTTTGGAACCAATTAACAACCTCTGCGTCGTGGTTTAGTGCGTTTCGTTTACGATGAATGATTTCTGCTGTCTGGTTTTACTTGTTGCGTTGTAAATCGAAAGGGCGTTATTTTCAGGGGACGGAATAGACCTGGAAGTATGTTAAACCAGTGGTATTCAACCTGGGGTACTCGTACCCCCGGGGGTACGAGTACCCCAGGTTGAATACCACTCGTATAGATGACACTCTTTTTAATGTCGACTATGGTTTGTCTTTCAAAAGTTGTTAATTGATATGTTTACCTTACATCTATGTGCTGACTTCCTACACCAGTATTTCACTAGATACACAGACTGAATGTCCTTTAATGATCATACACGTGGAAATGGTTGAGAAACACTGCGTTAGTTACGTTGATGGTTGGTTAGTGAGCAAACATATAGGTAAAATAATCTCGACTGAATAATTACATTAGGAACAACGCTTACCTCTCTCGCAACGGCAAACGTCTATTGTTTTCTTTCAGTTCTGCTGAGGGCACCCGAACTGTAGGAGTGACAAAACTGAATTGAAGAACTTTCAGTTGTCAATACAAACTGATATATTTAAGGCCTTGTATGGTTTGTTATGCGCGCTTTGTAAAATTTTGCATATCCTTCTGATAACTGAAAATTGCTTCTTACAAGGAAATCCACTTTTTCAGGGTTTTACCTTGCAGTAACGCCTTCTGTTACAAGTGGTGGAACAGTCGAATTGTAGAGGGTGGGTAACAGTAAATAGTTCATGTAATTAGGATTTTCATTTTCTATTTTTATAAAATGTCCGGGTTTCAGTTTTTCAGACAGAAAAGATTTGAGTCTCCACATTGTAATGGATTTTGAAACGAAGTGCAGTGCATTTTAAATTTTTCACGTAAACTTTTTACCTTTACAATGGAACATCAGCTAGTAAAGAAGTGACTGCACATTTTAGTATCAAATACTTATAATAAAAGTATCACGTAACTTCTGTACACGAAATAACTGTTCAAAAATACTTTATTAAAAAAAATATACCTTCAAAAATATTTACTTTGAGTATTCCTGATAGACGCCTATCGTCCCAACGCCAACACAAACAGCCGAATCAGGCCTCAGTTCACACGGCTCTGGCAAGCCTACCAACACAAAATGACTAATTAACCCAGACTAAGCTAACTTTCCCTAACCAAACCGAAAAATGAACATAATCTAACATAACATAACCTCCCGAAACCTTGATAAATGTCAGCACGACCTCCCGACTGAGACAAGAGACTAACAAACAGAGATTCCAAGAGGACGACAGCGTAAAGTATGGCCAAATTGTCTCTCACACAAATATATGTATGGATTGCATTCAGCTGGCTCAAGACAAGGCTTTCTCATGTGAACATGTAACGTATCTTCTGAATCCATAAAAGCGAGGCATTTCTTAGCCAGCCGAGTGTTAATTAGTCAAATGGGCTCTGTTCTACATAGTTACTTGGGTAATTTAAGAACGTAGACTTTTCTCCTGGGTTGTTGCGCCGTGTAGCCTCGTAAAGTTTACCGCGCAACAAAACAAAAGACAGCCATCTACATACTCTACGCAGAGAGAAACTGATAACGTTTAAGAGCGTTTAGGTTTGGAAGTCACAGATTGTGGCAGTTCCTTTCGCTTATGAGTCCACAGGTCTGTAGAGCTTTAGCAGTTAAGTGAACTTTCAACCGATCATCCTATTTGGGCAGGCTGTAAAACTAATGTAAATTAAATATACCCCAGTGTCGAGGCACAGTTATCTTGAAGATGTGAAGGGCGTGTGACTAAGCTAAATAGATGTGAGCAATCAGCTTCACGCTCTAGCCGTTTTAACTCTGTTACGTTACCGGTAGTGCGAAGAGGATACTTTCTATTCTTGCCGGGAATCGAAGCCCAGCCGGCCATACTAAGTTCCGTTACTGACCGAGTTATAAACATGTCACAGCAGGTTCGAATTCAGGGTAACTTGAATTGCCTAAAAGTGCGCACGATTTAGGTATGGAGGCTGGTTCTAGGCTACCGTGCCTCAAATAGTCCTGTCCTTTAGCAATAATACGTAAAAAACAAAAACACGAATACCATGACACAGAAGATTCATGCGCCCCTCTTCAAAGTTTGGAATTAGAGATTGCAGTTGTTTATGCAGAACAATGACGGCTTTAGTTTACTCTTGGTACATAATGATATGTTCTGTGTTTCCTACTTCTGGTTGAAGGATTTGTTACAACATAAAGTAGTTCAAGTCTGTGGGAAGTGGACTTAAGGTTAGTTTGAGTTGAACATCAGTTGAGTCAACATGAACAGGTAGGTTATCAGTTGAACTGAGTAGTACAGAAATTTATAATAAAGTGATGGAAGTATTGTGAGTCTGTTTATACACTAGTGGAAACAATATAATATGATTTCATATGATAGGACAAATTATTTAAAATTATTGTGAAGAGGTAGACTAGAGTAAATTATATGTAGCTGGGTTCAGTACGATTCTCAGAATAAACAACGACTGTTTCCCCGAAACAGTATTAAACAATTGACCTTTGTATTGTAGACGCGTTGTATTTTGAGGTGTGGACTGAAATTTTTGATTATTAATTATATGAACTTCCTACTTCAAACGGATACGACATTTTCAAGCCTTCATGGTAGTCGAAGTGCCTTTATATTATTTACAAATATTCCACCATCCCATATATTAAAACAAATTATCAGATGTTGCTAACAAAAACAAAATAAATATTTATGTACAAAGGTGGGAAAATAAGGATTTTGAAATTTGCTCTGATGACAAATAAGATACTTGAAAGTCGACTGATTTATGCATCTACTAAGCGTGTGAGCGTTCTTTACAGTCTGTCAATGAAATGAATAAATGTTGGTTAGCCCATTTCTGTACGCTTCTCAAAACACTTATCTGTTTTCTGTCCAGTTTGACCCCCTGTAAGGCAGATCCCTCGCATTTAAAATGTATATTAAATACGGCAAGAAAGAACAACAGAACCAGCTGTCTTTAAAAAAAGACACGTCACTCTTTTATTTTGTGTGTATTATTTCGGTACGAAACAAACGTAATTCGGCTATGGCCATGTGATTCTTATCGCATCTCGAGTCAAATTTAAGCGGCATCTCCCGAAATTCTTCTTTGAAACCGTTATAGGGAGGTCAGAGGAATAAACCCAGACCGATTCTGGGGCCAACCAGCGTCCTATCAAATATCTACCGAGGTTCATTCCTAGGGAGAAAGGCGACTTGGGCTTGAAGATAATTACCCACCTAAATCTAGTTCCGACAATAAGAATGCGTGGAGCTATACCTCAGCTCTCCATACATCGGCATGGCTTGTTTCTTCGTTAAGTACCAGAAACAAATTTTCAACTTTGACTTTGTACTTCAAGAAATCGCAAAAATCGAATGATAATGGATTTCGATCGAGAGAGTGGAGTCTAAGAACCTTAAGCTGTGGGTAAGCTTAATTGTCTAGTTGTCACTTTTGGGGCTTTTAAGTAAACGCCACGGATTAAAGCTAAGAAGATCTTTATCGCGTTTTAGACATTCGTTGCTTCAGATGTAACCCGCACATAAGATAAATAGTTGTTCCTGTTTACAACATCTGAAATACTGAATATTGGTTTATCAGGAATTAGGTCTTTCCACAGGAAACTATTTATTCTGTTATGCATCATGTATACTATTTCAGAGTGTTATAGTCTATCAAGATGGGTGGATGTTACGCAACAGAGATCATATTTAATCAATACATCCAAAATAATTAAAAATTGCACCCTCACTTGTAAATAAAAATGTTGTTTTCTGGTTTATCATTAACTTAGAATACAGCAAATTATCTATAAATATTTCTGCTTTGTACAGAGAATCGAACAAATACAAGCCAAGCTACTGGCATTGCCCTGGCACCGAACACCTCACGGCTCTTACTCTGGGGCAAGCGTTGGATGTAGCTGCAGATCGCTGGGGAGACAAGGAAGCCTTGAAGTCTACGTACCAAGGCCACAGCTTCACATTCAAACAAATAAGGGACAAGGTATTAATAATAATCATTCGTCTCTTACACAACTTTTGGTTATTTTCTTGTAATTATGTGTGCTACTGCGTACGACATCTATTTGTTTCTTGAGAACGATGAATAAATAAAGAGGTTTTTTTGAGTCCAAAGTCACAGTCAACACATACCTAACTTTGTACCAAATGACAGGAAACCCATAATGATAGCTAACAGTAAGACTTAATGATAGTGATCTTGCATTTCTGCTATAGCTTTTTGTTATTTTCTCGTTCATCAGTAACGAACTTCTCGCATGACCTTAACATCGTGTATACCTGAAGACAGTCATCTTCATGTTCACCGCTGTTCATGCGCGGCAAACTCGTTCGTTTGTTTATGCGTAATAACCGTGTTCGTGTATCAGAATCATTCTACATTTTGCCACGAAACAACACCGGAACGCCACAAGACTGTCACACTGAAATCCCTTTGCCGCGGGACAAAGAACCTCTCCGATTTGGCTAGTCCCACTTTAAGCAAAGTCACCTCAAATGAAGATGACACAGCGATTTGTACATCTTATCTATACCAATACACAAAATAAACTTCAGTTCCTACAGAAGTAATCATTTCCGCTTGTTTTCATTTCCAAACCACAAAACTGCTTTCTTGAAATTCGGTATGGTAAGTCTGAGCACACTAAACATTGCCGAAATCGCTTCATTCAGATTAATACCGATTTACTTTATCTTAGTCACGTTCTGAAGAATAACAAGTTCATAGCATAGAAATCAGAACGTTAACATGAAATAGATAAACATGCCATATAAGCTATATCAATACTTTTATCAGTTTTTTCAGTATAAAGGAATGCAAATACCTACTCATCTGTTGTTTATATTTGCTAATAATAATAATTATGTATCAGTAACATATCAGCAACCAAAATGTTATTTACATGAACAAACAATAACGCGAAAATTATGCAACTGTTAAGTAACGTGTACCGTAGTGGTAATAAACGCATCTGGAAAGTCTAGAACACCAGACTACCGGAATTCCTTCATGGTCTTCTGGGTTACGAGCCGTGTAGTCTTGTAGCTGCTTACGTGGAACTACATCTTTCACCGAAACATTAGTAACAGTCTATAAGACTACACGGCGTCACAGTTTAGATTCCAAAAGAACATGGCCAACACTTTATTGCAGTGTTGACCTCAAATTTCTTGCTGAAATGTCTCCTCCTTTTATCCTATAAATTAAGCAATATGCTGTATGCGCCTACGTATTCATATTTAAAAACACTGTCTCGCCATCTCTGTTTCTCTCTGCACGTGTCCCTTCTTCTCGTCCTTGCCTTGTATCTTTGGTTCTTTTTTAGGTGTCCTTAACACTTTGAGGTAGCTGACTGTATGTTGACTGGCTACGGGCTAGCCTCTGCTTTGAGACCGGCTCTGTCTGTCTTCAGTCCCTCCAGGTACACACCTGGATTACCTTAAATCAAGCCAAAACCGCTTCCTTCCACATCTTTTCCGATTCGTTATTCAATAATCATACGATCACTCAACGCTAGTCTGAATGTCGTCGTTAAACACGTCATAATTAAATTATTATTTTTATTTAGTGCTCTGTCTGACGACAGGTCCATATGAACAGGATCCTTCCATCCTTTTCTCGGACCGGGACCTGTTCATATACGTTCTTGGCAGACGATCCAGAAGTGGTTTGCCATTGCCTTCTTCTGTGTGTGAATGGAGTAATTGTTGGGATGCCACGGAGGAAAACTCCGTGTTGCCTAGACCACGGCCTTTCCCAACACAAGTTATAAATTCGGGCACCGCCGGGAATCGAACCCGAGACCCCCCAGGATTACAAGGCCAGCGTTCTAACCGCTAGACCACCGTGGCTGACTCATAATTAAATACAAGAATAAAATTGTTTTAGCATTCGTCAGGGATCATACACAGGCCAAATTGCATTTTGCTCTCGCCTCAATAATGAGTCTCAGATCCAGAATGTTCGTGTCGGTTTCAGGCTGACAACCTTGCTGCTGGGCTCCTGCAACTGGGTCTCAGCCCCGGAAACCGACTGGGAATCTGGGGCCCTAACTCCAGTGAGTGGTTCATCTCCAGACTTGCCGCAGCCAGAGCGGGACTTATAGCGGTAAGTAGCGTTGACAAACGCTGAAGGGCCGTGTGGGTCCTCATACCGGAGTCCAAGTTCACTGCCATAGCAGTGGACAAGGGACTGCGCCGAACAGTGCGAAAATGAGGCCGGACTTCCCAGAGTACTGAACTCTTTCCGTCAGTCATCCTAACAATATTCAATATTTATCATAGTCACCGCATGTAGGCTTACCTAACTCGCAGAAAATCTACAATGATAATAACTGTGGTAATAATGTATGGTATTTGTTTTGACATGCGATGAACAGAACAGCTGATACCAAACAATGAAATAGTTCTGATATTTATTAATGTGTCGCAGGTGCAAATTGACCCCGCGTACCAAGCGCCGCAGATGGTGGAAAGCATCAACAAAGTGGGCATTAAAGCGCTCATCTGTTCAGATTTCTACAAGACCAACAGCTGCTACCAGATAATACGCGCTGTGGTCCCTGAACTGGATAACTGCCCGGAGTCAGGGGTTGAGCTTAATGGCTCCAGAGTTCCGACACTCAAAACACTGATCTTCATGAGCGATAAGGAGTATCTGTAAGTTCTAAAAGTGAATCTGCGTGATGATTCTTTACCTTGTTTATGTTTTTCTATCAGATGTGTAGGACCCCGGAAGGGGGGGGGGGTTAATTTAGTGTCTTACTCAAGATTTTAAAACGCAACGAACCTTTCCATTTTGTTATATGTAACGAAAAGATGTTACTCTGCTTGTTCCTGATGAACTTCTGTAATTCCTTGCCCACTTCCCCTGGTCAGAGCCGTTTTCTTAATAACTTTCTCAGTTTTCCCAGTTTATGAAAATACGCATATTTTAGTAGATATAAATCAGTTGAAACAGAAGATGTCACGTATTATATAAACTTTGTTTCAGTCACTGACTTGTTAAAAATCCAAAATTATGGGCCTCAACCACACACAGTTGTGGACGTTATCGTGGAATATATCTACTTTCGTGTCTTCCCAGCTAAGAAATACCAAATACTTTGCTGAATTAGACCGTCAAACGACATTGGTGACTGGCAAGTCTAGAGGAGGGCTCTTGTAAACACGACAATGAAGCTATGGGTTCTATAAGAGTCGAGGAATTTACATACTAGCTGAGATACTATTAGTTTTGAAAGGACTTTGCTCCATGGAGTTATTTTAAATTGGAGGGCTATCTGCCCCCTTTAAAATACCTGACAGCAATACGTTTCGTTGTATTCGTGAGCACTAAATTGTTTTTGTTTCAGAGGAGCATACAGACTCAGTGACGTCATGGCGACTGCACGTCCAGAAACTCTGAAAGCAATTCGAAAATTGCAGACAATGATACAGCCTGACGACGGGTGTACAATCCAGTTTTCATCCGTAAGAATTAATTTAAATCCTAAACAATTTAATGAACTAATGTGCTACTTTCGTGAGCTTAATGATGCAGTATAGTTAAGTTATTTTAAACGTTCTTCAAAAATCTGTTTAACATTTTGTGTAGCCGCAGTGTTGCCTATACTGTGTGATCGGCAATTTTTTTGGTGACTGATCTTCGTTCAATGTCATTGCACAGTAATTTATTGTTTACATTAAACGCTTTAATGGTGCCACAATTATAATGTAACCTAACAGTGCACTTTCTGTCCCCCACCCTAAGACAAATGAAGAGACGTAATGTTTAAAAAGAGGGCGCTTAGAACATTTGAACTTAAGGGGGAAAATGCAACAGAGGACCGAAGATAATTATATGATGAGGAGTTGCATAATAAGTACTCTTGAACAAATAGTATTAGGGAGATAAAATAAATGAATATGAGATGGACAGGGCATATAGCACGCATATGAGATATGAAAAATAAATATATTTTAGTCTGAAAACCTTGGGAGACGTAGGCGTAGATAAAAAGATAACATTCAATTTTTTTATCTACTGAATTCATCAGATTAATAATAGGATACATTGGAGGGCTCTTGTGAGCACGGTGATGAACTTTTGAGATACATATAAAAGACTGGAAATGCCATGTTTACCTGAGCAAAAGTACTCTGCTCCATGGAATCCGTGGATAAATGTCGCAAACAACATTTTAGTTAGTTTTGCTTAATACAGGCTGTGTGGAAAGTACGGAATATCAGTGCGGTTTGAAATATTTTATCATTTCTAACAGGGTACGACGGGGTCCCCAAAAGGGGTACTTCTGAGCAATCACAACTTGATAAACAACGCCAGGTTTATAGGACGGCGCCTTGACATGAACATGCTGGTAAGGTTGCTCATTTCTCTGTATTAGTTTTGACATATTTAGTAGGTAAATATTAAAATGCTTGCATTGTTAATTTAATTTACATAGGTATTATTTTTATTGCCTACTTTCAAGCAACGGAAGATAACAAATCATATTTTTCTCTCACAACTAAGCGTAACGTAAAGTACGTCACGGCTACCTTACACATCTTTTTACAATCAACATAATTACTATCAGCATCAGTCATCTTCCTCTTAGGTTCAATGGCCTGTTTACTGTATCATACTAGTGTACGAGGTGCGATCGGAAAGTTTCAAGACTGTGTCAATAGCGGGCAAACCGGATGTAGTACGAGCTTCTGCCGCTAGGGGGGTGCGGCCTACATTCATAGTGAATTAGTGTGCCAGCCGGCATCATCGAATTAGCATTTGTTTCTTACTTACGGGCGTTTTGGTAGTGCATTACACCGACCCTCCTGCGATTTCGGAATGGCGTGTGCATCAAATTTTGCCAAAGACTCGCCAAAACGGCTACGGAAACCTATGAAATGCTAAAGCAAGCATTTGGGGAAATACTTCGAAATGGGTCGTGCACAAACTTTTGTGAGGCATTCAAAGGAAGAACTCCACATGCGACGCATCCTGTCAGAGGACTAGAAGCAGAATCGACTTCTCGTTTGTCAGGAGCTCCAAGATCTTGCAAGAACCGACCCCAACTTCCTTTTTAAGCTCCGTGTGACTTCTTCCTCTTCCCAAAGATGAAAATTCAGCTAAAGGGAATGAGATTTGAGACGATAGAAGAGATTCAGGCAGAATCGCAGATGGTGCTTGACAGGCTGACAAAGAAAGATTTCCAGGGATGCTTCCAGGCTTGGCAGCGGCGCTGGGATCGTTGTGTTCACTCCCAGGGGAACTACTTCGAGGGTGATGGATGAATTTAATACCTGAGATAAGTGTACGGGTTTTTATAGCCGCAGTCTAGAAACTTTCCGATCGCACCTCGTATTCTAGTGCCTAGATATGTACAGACCTACAGATGAAAGCTACCACACAGAAACAGATAAGTAATAGGCCATAAGGCTAGTTCATTAATTTCTAACTCCTATTAACCTCTGTACACAGGCATATTGTTTAAAGGACAGTATACATTTTAGTTATTTAAACAATTTCTTGTTATTCTTTTACACAAATTTCCTCCCCTCGCCCTCGCCCGTCATCAATTGAATTCACAGCTTTGGGTAAATTACATAGAAATTGTAGGTTTCCAATTTCAGGTTTAATTTTGTTGTTATTTAAAGTCACGCGTGTGGCAATGCATCAGATAAATGTCGATATCTTCTTCTTACACAGGGGGCCAAGACACTGGCTGCCACCCAGTTGTGCCACTCCGCCGGCACTTTGGCAGTCCTCCTCTGTGGACTCATCCACGGCATAACCTCCGTCATACCAGCACCTGTGTTCGATGCCAGAAAGGTGTTGGAAGGAATAATACAAGAGAAGTACGTCAATGCATGTGGATAATTATATTAACGCTATTATCTTCGGATGTGAACTCTCTAGACAAAAACAAACGCAGAGGATGAGGGCTGTAACACAGTGTCGTGTTTGCCGAGCGCTATACAACGCGCAGCCCTACAGATATAGATCAGTTGTATTAATTTATTTAATGAATATTATAGATTAATTGATTTTTGGAAAACATAAAGACGCTTCTCTATTTATGTAGTTTATATAACGTATCATAATTGTGAATCAGGAAATGAAGAAAATGTTGAAGAAAGTGGTCACTGATTATTTTATCATTATATTGCGGAATTTGCATGTAGAAACCAAGGAAAAACATGGAACAATCGGATTAGCCAGTCTGTAGGTCGATATTTGAAACAGGAGCTTCCGGAACACAAAATTGATGAGCGATGTCATTAAAGAATTAAATTAATCAAATAAAATTTTCACTATAAATGTTAATAAAAATACAGAAGTGAAACTGTGAGCTGCCAATTTTTATAGGATTAAAGTAGACAGTCGGTAAGATACGTAAATCAGTAACAGCCATGTGACGTGATATGAACATAATTCCGTTCTTATAAAGACCAGCGGTCGAGCATTCTATTTACATGGTCTTCGCAGCCCTTATATAGACTCACGTTAGTTATCGGCATGTCCTTTTTTGTGTGTAAATATTTTTATATAATGTGCATATTCTAAACGAGATGCAAGTAGCTACATTATATTTGAGCTTCGAAACTCGTATGAGCGCAGTCATTGTGTTGCGAATAAACTTGTTGGATCCTGCAATTCTAGATGTACGCACATTTTCGCAACCCCATCTTTGTATCTGGACATGATTACGACGTCACAAGACCTGGGCCTTAAGGTCACTACGCTTCAGGTGGCAGCTTACGGAGGAGCGCCATGTTCCCAGAAGCTGGCCCTGCAGATAAAAGAGACGTTCAACATCAGGACCCTGACAGTGAGTATGTCAAGTTGCTGAAAGATCAGAAAAATATGATTTGCGCTTATTCGTGTGTGGGAGATGATAAAAACGTACGTCGCACTGTTTTCCGCAGTCACATTTGCAGACTTTAACAGGGAGCATATAATATTGCTCATTGTCTGAGAGGTATTTGATGTACAAGACGTTTCGGAAGGTGGCTGCCATAAAACAAGCATGTCTTTACTTTAAGATTAGTGGTCCTTTCCTAACGTAAAATTAAAAAAAAATGCCCCAGGTTCGATCCAAAACATCGCCAGTCTTAAAATAAGAAATATGTCATATATTTAACTAGCCACCTGAAAATGGAAGTAATTCCTAAAACACCGTGTGTGTCATATTACAGCTACGCAAACTGGAGGTCTTGTTTACACACATCCTGTTCCGGATATAGTTCTGTCGCTGTAAGTTTGATCACGGCCTTTAGTTCGCACACATACAAAGATCATCAACTTCCGTGCATGTACTTCCTCACGGCGATACAGCTCTATCAATCTCTTGCTTTCAGCCTGTCTATGGAATGACCGAGTTATCGAGTGTTTTTTCTACAAAATTCGGTGACTCCTTAGAACAAACGACGACGACAGTTGGTTTCGTCGCGGACCACACTGAGGTAAGTCCGTAAAAGCGTAACGTAGCCAAGCTACTGCAATTAATTATAACGAATTCGTTTACAAAGTGCTGAGAAGAATTATTTTTACCGCAGAGAGACAAAGTAACATAGCAATAGAGAAAATTGTATAACAAATATCTTAATGTTGACGGCATGAATAAATTTAATTACAACAACAGCTGAAAGGAACAACCTAACCCAAACTGAAGAAAGCATTTTCCATACCTTATTGGCTTTGGTGGTTATTTATTTTCGAGATAAATCTTTTCGTAACTTATCGTGTTTGGGGGGGGGGGGGGGGGGGG